AAGGCGCAGCCGGGGGTACTGGAGCGAGTTCCTCCCCTCCCTCCGGTCGCACGTGGGGCGGCTGATGTAAGATCTTCCTCGGGCTTCCCCGCCCGCCACCGAGCCGAGACCCCCCCGGGCCCCACCTCGCTGCGCCCCGTCGCGGGTCTCCCGCCGGGGTTTGGACGTTTGCCGGCGGGCTCGTGGGGAGGTGGGAAGGAGGCGTCGGGGGTCGGTGAGGATGGGCCCGGCCTCCGAGGCTCGACAGGTCAGCCCGACGCCTGCGACGGCGGGACACGGGGCTGAGGTTCACCTTGTGCTCCCCACGGTGTGAGTCAGCGGCCCGAACCCCGCTGTCTGCTTGGTCGGGTGGTCGTGGAGGCTCGGAGGAACCCCGTCGGGAGCAGAATCTCGGCCTCCCGGCGTGGCCCCGCGTGGCCCCGGGTACAGGCGGCCTTCGAGGGAACGGGCGCGGCTCCGGACACGCGCCCGAGCCACCGAGGAGCCCAGGTTCCCCGAGTTCATTAGACTCTCCCTGGGTTTCTAACATTTAAATGTAGGATAGCAAGGCAGCAATTAGCATTTCTAATGGGGCCTTGAGAGTTTTACAGTTTGTCCGAAGACTTTTATCCCATTATTCCTCAGGGGACCCCTGTGAGGTGTGTAAATTCTTGATGGTCTTGGTTTGGGTGAAGCTTGGCAGGCAGCCTTTGTAATGGTCCGCTTCAGAGAGCACCCTGAGAGCCAGGATTAGAGCCCTAAATTTGCTTTGCAGACTAACTAGAGTAACATAACGTTATATTCAGCTTAAAATAAGTAAATACGTAATGTGTCTAATCAGATACCATCTTACTTGTAACGGACAAAAGGCTTCAAAGATTGCGAACAACTTCTGAATAGAGAAAAACAATTCTATGCATTAACCTAAGGTTTTCTTAAAGTTAAGACTCCCCCGTCCCAGTCTACCTGTGGCAAACAAAACCACTTATATCAATTTTTAAAATATGTAATTAGTTAAAATTTCAAAGCAAAAGAAAAATTTTTAAAGGCTTATGGAGAAAGGCAAAATTTTTCTGGTATGTTGTTTCCCAGTCTCGCATTTAAAATGTTAGTCTTAGCAGACATCTCTGTGAGGGAAATGGTGAGGGGAGTACTCTTTAGGATGTCACAGAGGTCTAACTACAAGGTTAGGAGAACCACAGGGCATGAGATGAAGGCTTTTACAAAAAACTAGCAAATCAGTTCTATGAGCTAACAAGCAAAAAATGATCGTCCACTTTTAGGGCTTGATATGTTCTTTCTCATTTAATCCAAAGACACCTTTGTGAAGCAGATTGTATTTTAATCATTTTACAGATGAAGACTGAACCTTAAGCTGCATGGCCAACAGAGATGGAGCTAGGGTTTAAACCCAGATGGGTCTAACTCCAAAGCCTGCCATTTTTTCCGCTATACCATCAGTCTGACTGGAATGAAGTCCTAGCATGGGGGCCTGATTCGGGACACGACGTCTGGAACATCTGTAGAGGACCTTTAATACCAAACAGAACATGCAGGTGCCATCTTGCAGGTAAAGGGGAGATGCTGAAGGAGAGTGGAACATGGCAGCTCTGTGCTAGAGAGAGATGTAACTTGGTGGCTCGTGGGGGAGGTGGTACTGATCCTTAGGGAGAAACCAGGCAAATCTTGGATCCTGTCCTCTATGACCAACTCTAGGATATGAAGGGCTCCTTCCTCAAGATAACTGTGTTTTATAAGATTAAGCTACAAAGTAATTAATAAACATAGCCACAATGTGCAGCAAATAAAAAGAAAGCAAAAGAGCCAAAGGAGGAGAGACTACAGACCCGGTACTGTCCCTTCTGACACAGCCGGTGCTGGCATGCACCTCTGTGAACAAAGAGCATGTGTTCCAGTGACATGCTTCTTTGTCAGGGGCTTCACTGCCAGAGGCATAAATAACACAGGCAGAACAGGGTGTGTCTCACTGCCCTGCCAACATCTTCCACTGGACTGTCAGTCCACAAGGCCTGAAGGGGCTGTTGTCACAGTGTCCTGGTTTTGAATATTGCTGCACTCAACATCATTCTGAGTATGCATCTGGGTGCGAGAAAGAAGTAGAATATATAATTGTATCTAATCCATGGTTATTATCATGTGTGTGGATTTATGGATTTGAATAAGAGTTGGAAGGGAATAAGGAAAAGTGAACACAGCTTATTAGTTTATTAGGGAGTCTGAACTATGGGTGAAATACTTTTTTCTCCCATTGACATTCATGCTTGCCTAATAAGTAATGAAAATATCAAATAATGCCTGGTTTTGGCACCGCTTTGAGTCTTAAAACTGCCTGTTAAACAGAATGTGTGTGTATTCCAATAAACTTCAAATTGAGAACAACACTCTAATTTGTAACTCCTTGGATCTGCTCTCAGCACCAGCCGGTCATTGGTCAAACCATCAGATGACGACCCAAGCCTTCCACAAATTTTGTGGCTAGGAACAAACTTTAATAAATCTGAAGATGAGAAGAAACAGCCCCATTTAGGCATTGATTTAACTGGCTTTGAAACCAGTTTGGAAGAATGGCACCCTTTCTCTTTTGTAAAGACAGTATATGAAGCTAATGCATAATATAGGGTGAAGAATCTACTTTTTTTTAAATGAAGTGCTTCCATTCTCCTCTTCTATATACATGTGCAGCCATTGCTAAATCTGCCCTCTGACATTCCATAGCATGGTGTGTGTACCTGTTATAGCAGTTAGGCAACACATGGGAGTTGTTGAAGGATCTAAAATTTCAACTGGACTGAGCTCATACAAATATTTCTGGATGATATAAATAGAGAATAGTAGCCTGGGCCATCTTTAGAATATAGGTGCTCTGCAAATGTGTATTATGTTGAAAATAATGTCACATGTACTCACGAATACTATCTAGGCAGCTGAGATTGTTGAGACAGGGAGAAGGAGAGGCAAATAGTTAGATGAAAATTGGGTAAGAATGAGATCCTATAAAAGTCTCCAGGTGGTAAAAACAGAGGAGAGGAGAGTGTCAGGTGTGTAGGCAGCTGTAGGTCCAGTAAGGGGCCCTTGCCAAGGGAACCAGATTCTTTTCTGCTCTCTGAAACAGCTGTAGGTGCTTGGCCTTCCTGGGGCAGCAAGGAAGAGCTATGACTACCAAGAGTTGGGTTTAATATTTATTAAGCACCATCCTTATGCCAAGTACTGTGCTTGGGATTTTCATGTATATTGCATTTCAGTTAATCCTGGCAACAGCTCACTGGGACAAGACTATAATCCCCTTTTATTGTTTAGGAAACAGACTTGGAGAAACCAAGTGGAACTCACATAGCTAGTAAGAATCTGGATTTCTCTGTCATTAAGGTCTCACTGTAATTCATTCTCATTACTTTGATCCACTAGTCCTCACAACTGCTTCTGAAAAACCTTTTTTGTTTTCTTTGCTTTAAGAAGATTTACATGCTCATTGTTGGGAGGCAGGAGAGGAAAAAAACCACAGAAAAGAAAACTTAAAAGTTAAACACCTACCATTGAGATACACCCACCATTAAGGTGTATATCCTTGCAGCTTTTTTTTTCTATATTATACATAATTTTGAAAAAACAATATTAGGCTCAGACTGAAGATTTTTTTGAAACTTGTTTTTTCCACCTACCATTACGAAAAATAATGAGTTAATACTCTTCATAAATATGAGTAGTAGCTTTGCTGAATGTTTTTCTCTTTTTAAAGAAGGGCTTTAATGAGGCTTTTGGACAAACCACATAACCTCTCTGAGCCTCAGGCTGGCTCATCTCAGAATGTTGTAAGGATTAGACATGATCATGTGGGTGAAGCTCCTACCTGGCACAGTGCCTGGTACCCTCCCCTGTGCCCCTGTCACAGTCACTGCAAGCCCCAGTCCCTCCCTTACCCTAAGTAGAGGCCCAGAGCTTGCTGGGCCTCCTCAGGAGTATAGAAGTTCTGCTTTGGCCATCAGTCCTCCACCTCTGTTCCATGTCCTTTGTTTCCTGTGATTACCCTGCCCCTTTGATTGAAGAAAGAACTCACCCCAAACCAATATAAGTTTTGACTCTCAAAGGAGTGGATTTATTTTCTGTTTCATGCAGTCTTGGTCTCTCTTCATGAACTGGGAATGTGCTCCTGAGCTACCCTGGAAAATATCTGTGTGGCCCCACAGTGTTGGATATGCTTCTCCTCCATAATTAGCCAGTATCCCCACCATCTGGACTCTCTCCTACCTCACAGGGATTTCCTTGTCCACACAAAACTATCCAAGAGTCTTGCTCCTGCTGACTGAACTTTCCCATCTGTTCTGGAGCTTACTTTGCCAGCTCTGGCCCAGCCAGAGGCCCCTCAGTGGCTATGCAAGGTAGTCCTCCCTCACACTAGACTCTGACAGTCCTTAGGTAGTGTGTGTGCTCCCTAATTTCCTAGTCTCATTTTGGTAAAGGCCAAAAGTCCCTAATACCCTCACACTCTACTTCTTGAAAAGCAGGGTAGGAGCACCCTTCTAGTTGCTAGATGAGATGCTGTCTGATTCATGAATCACCTAATAAAGCCAGTTAGATCTTTAAAGAAAAGAAAAAATTATGAGAAAGAAAGAGAGAGAGAGAAAGAGAAAGAAGAGAGAAACAGAGAGAGAGAGAGAGAGAGAGAGAGAGAGAGAAAGAGAGAGAGAGAGAAAGAAAGAAGGAAGGAAGGAAGGAAGGAAGGAAGGAAGGAAGGAAGGAAGGAAGGAAGGAAGGAAGGAAGGAAGGAAGGAAAGAAAAAAGAAAGAAAGAAAGAAAGAAAGAAAGAAAGAAAGAAAGAAAGAAAGAAAGAAAGAAAGAAAGAAAGAAAGGAAGGAAGGAAGAAAGGAAGAAAGGAAGAAAGGAAGAAAGAAAGCAGGGCAGCGGGGTTTTCTTTTATGTCTGTCTATGCACATACTATAGAAAACTTGGAAACTGTGCTTAACAACAAGAAGAAAATAAAAATCTCAGTTCAGGGTTAAGCACACACTGACCATGTTTTAGTGTCTATTCCTCCAGTCTTTTCTTTATACACATATGGCACTTTCTCAAGTCTCAGATTGCCAGAAGCATCATCTCATTAATAACAGCTTTTCAGGGAGGCAGCAAAGGGGAAACCCACTACATTAAATATTCATAGTGATTATAAGAGACATCCTTACTTCAAAAACGGTAAGTAGTAAAAAAAAAAAAAAAAAAAAAAGAAGAAAGAAAACTATTATAGTATCTAGGAAATACTGTATGTATTACATTTAATTTTTTCAAAAAAGGATGATACTGTAACCTGCTTTTTTCACTTAACAATATATTATGAACATATTTCCATGCCATTGAATAGTCCCCTACAATATATATTCCTTGACATGCTCCTACAAAATGAAAATAGCTTTCCTTTTTCTGAATATAAAGACAATACATATTCATGTAGCAAATTCATGCAATGCAAAGAAGTATAAAGAAGAAAATAAAAGCGGGCCCAAATCCCATTACCTAGTGGCAACCACTGTTAACATT